CATAGAATCTATGTAAATTTAATTAATTTAATTAATGAATATACTTCAATTTTTTTTTTTCTTTTGAAGAGGAATTCTGGATTAACTTAGGTCTGTGGCAGTCCAGTCCAGTCCAGTTTTGTGTTGGGAGAGTCCAGTGGAGTCCAGTCCAGTCCAGTTTTGTGATTTGCAGTCCAGTCCAGTCCAGTCCAGTCCAGTTTTGTGCTTGCAGTCCAGTGGAGTCCAGTTTTGTGCTGGGAGTCCAGTGGAGTCCAGATTTGTGGATATTGCGAGTATGTAGTGAAGTCCAGTGGAATCCAGTGGAGTCCATGTGGATTATGTGGGGGATGGTAAAGTACTGGTACCAGGAGTCCAGTAGGACCACAGTTTGTCACTGTTATTGTTATTAATATAATATAAAAATAAAAGTGCAACATCGGAAATCGAACACTTGACCTTAGGATCAAGGTGCCACAATTAAGGGAAGCACTCAAACACCTGGACCACGACGGCTTTACTATAGGTACGTACTTTAACCTACACATACCTACAGCTCGGCCGCTTTCCCAGAACGAACGTCGGCAAGTTCCGTTCGTGGAAATTCTGCACAAACCCTCAACCCACTCTTCCTCGCAACCACCACCATCGACAATGCATCGACAACCACCGCACACCACCCATTGCTTCCACCACCCATCGACACACACCATGCCCGCCAATGCACACTCCGCAAAGCCACGACGACCCCCGAGCAGCTGCAAAGATGCGAAGGAACAAGAACAACACCCACCCAACGACGCCCAATGCCAGCACACGCGAATGGACAGAGGCGCCGACGGCGAGCTCAGGTGAGCTCACTACCCTCTCCCCCCTTTATTTCTCACATAAACCAGGTGCCACGTCACCGACATGGCACCAGACGACGAACGACGAACCGAAATTCGTCGTTCGTCGTCGTTTTTTTTTCTGCTAGACCACGAAACACCCGCAAATGACACCCTCTGCCCACAAAAAACACCCACCGCCCATGAAGAACACCCACCAGCCCACAAACGACGACCGCCGCCCATGAAAAAAGCCCAGCGCCCACAAACGACAAGCGCCACCTACGAAAAACACCCAGCGCCCATAAACGACTGCCGCCGCCCATGACAAATACCCAGCGCCCACAAACGACGACTGCCACCGCCTATGAAAAACGCCCAGAGCCCACAGATGACAACTGCCACCGCCTACGAAAAACACCCAGCGCCCACAAACAACAGCCGCCGCCCACGAAAAACATCCAGCGCCCCCAAACAACGACTGCTACCGCCTACGAAAAATGCCCAGAGCCCACAGACGACGACCGCTGCCACCTATGAAAAACACCCAGCGCCCATAAACGACCGCCACCGCTCATGACAAATACCCAGCGCCCACAAACGACGACTGCTACCGCCTACGAAAAATGCCCAGAGCCCACAGACGACGACCGCCGCCGCCTATGAAAAACACCCAGCACCCACAAACGACAGCCGCCGCCCACGAAAAACATCCAGAGCCCCCAAACGACGACCACCGCCCATGAAAAGCAGCCCACCCATGCCCACGGATGACGAGCACTCCCTCGTGATGAGCTCCTTTCACTCCCTCCCCCTCAAACCCTCCCTGTCTACTCTCTGTCCTCCCCCCCCTCCCTCTCCCTCCATCACTCCCACCTCCCTTCCCTCCCTTCCCCTCCCTCTCCCTCCCCCTCCATCACTCCACCTCCCTTCCATCACTCCCACCTCCCTTCCCCTCCCTCTCCCTCACCCTGTCTCCCCCTCCCTTCTCCTCCCTTCCCTTCTCTCACCCTCCCTTCCCCTGCCTTCCCCCTCCCTCACTCTCCCCCCCCCTCATCATTTCCCACCACTTCCTCCCTCCCCCACCCTGACCACATTAGATTATTAAATATTTTTGTATATATTTGTGTATATAGTCATCAATATAATATCTATGTTTAAATGGAAGTTTGGTATGGAATTTTGAGGTGTTAAAAGGTCTGACTGACTTAATCAAAAATTGATAGAATGCATGATACTCCAGTAGGAATCCAACTGAAGGTTTGGATTTTTTTTGTCTAAGTTTAGTTGGAGTCTAGTTGGAGTCTAATAGGTGGAAATTGCCTTTTTTGGAAGAATTGTTGAAATCCAGTGGGAATCCTACTGGAGTCCTGGAATCCAGTAGGAATCTTACTGGAGTCCTGGAGTCCAGTAGGAATAGGTGGGGGAGTGATAAGTACTGTCTATTTGGTCTACTAGTACACTTTGTAGTCCATAACTGACTTTTGTAGTCTACCTGCAATCTTTTGTAATATGTCAGTGTCAATTTACCTGTTAGGGTATGCACCTTCCATTTTTGGTCATTTTTCCCACGATACAAGAATTGTAGCCCTTTCTCTTAGCTTTCTAAATGTGTTAAAATCATTCTGTTTGGTGTTGTTCTCATGAAGAAAAATGCAAAAAGGTCGAAAAAAGCTGGCGATGAGACTTTATGTTATATCTCCACAATGGGAGCACTTTAGAACATAATTCCAACAGATTCAGGAAGCTACAGTGCAGGGCTACAATTAGGAAATAGGTCATGTGACCACCCTCCTGATGACCAAAAATCACAATGATATAGCCCAAGCAGCTAATGAAAATCGCAATGATATTGCCAAGGTGGCAAATGAAATTTCCAAAGAAATTGCCCAAGTAGCCAATGAAAATCACAATAATATTGCCCAACTAGGCTAATGAAAATTGTAATGATATTGCCCAGGTGCCTAATGAAATTTCCAATGATATTGCCCAAGAGGCTAATGAAAATTGCAATGATATTGCCAAGGTGGCCAATGAAATTTCCAATGATAATTCCCAAATAGTTAATGAAAATTGCAATGATATCAGTCAAGTAGCTAATGAAATTTCCAATGATATTGCCCAACTAAGCTAATGAAAATTGCAATGATATTGCCCAGGTGCCTAATGAAATTCCCAATGATATTGCCCAAGTGGCTAATGAAATTTCCAAATAGCTAATGAAAATCACAATGATATCGGTCAAGTAGTTAATGAAATTTCCAATGATATTGCCCAAATGGCTAATGAAAATCGCAATGATATTGACCAGGTACATAATGAGATGGAGGTCTAAGGCCTTGCCTACAATTAATGAAAAAAAGCGCAGGCTTTATGATAATGAAAAGACATGGCAACTGGTATGATTCCCTATCATAAAGACTGTGGACTTATACACAATGACCTCTAGGCAGTTACCTTATTTATATGATAAAAGTGGTAGCCACCAGTCTGATGCTTGGTTGAAAAAAGCGGTGGTTTGATCTTGTGCAAGTGCAATATGGAAGCTTGGCAACAATTGTTTCAGGGTGCGTTCCTGATCACTTTTCTTGACTCGCTTGGCTTGTCGGTTATCTGCTTCCGTGTCAGGGTTGACCTAGATATGTAGTAACACGATCGATCGTGCTCAGATAATACAAATAACGGATCACACACCCTTGCATGACGATTAGCACGGCAAACATGCCTCTCGGTGGCGTCATCAACGATGAGAGGAGCACAGATAGTCTTTTGCAGAGAGTGCCTCTTACCCATGGTGAGGTGAGATAATGAAGGATGGTTGATGTCCTGTTGGAGTCAAGCCACATTGATAAAACCTTAATTGGTGGCTTGATAAACTATACAGCTAGATTTGTGGCAAAACAGGTGGATTATTCCACTGCAACAAAAGAACACTATGGGAGACTGTAATTCAAAGTAAATACAACTGCTTAGATCGAAATTTTGTCACCCTCAGCACAAATCTGGTAGGAGAAGATACCACTGTCATGCCAATCCTGTATTTGGTCCAGGAACGATACTGCATGAGTGTGGACCTCCTCCATGAGAGTGAGAACAAGCCTGATGTCCTTGCCCACAAGATCAGAATATCGGTATACATCCCCATACCCATGCTCTTGTAAAATCTCATCTAGAGCCCCATGCACTTCCATCACAAGTTCTGCCCACCATTCCTCCCTTGAAGCACACACACTCACAGCCTCATCTGGGTTCTTGATACAGTGGGTGACTAGCTTGTCAACATAAGAATACATCTGACCATTAGTGGCTTGATTAAAGTGCTCACATGCGCTAGCAATGACATTGAGTGCATCAGCGCTGGGTCATAAAATTCATCAGAAATACACGGCGTGGCAGCACATCAAGGGTGGGCATACCTTGGATCAGGGCTGATCTTGGGGGTGTCTGCGGCAGTGGAAGTCTTGCATCTTTCCTTTCTTGTAGCCTGAACCTTTTTCTTGTATCAGCGACGTGCATGACGACAAATGCGAACTTGGTTCCTGAGAACTTGTCAATAAAATTCAAGAAAGGGAGAACAAGTGATGAACTCCTCATAATGTTTTTTCGCAGCAGTGTGATGAGCGAGTGCTTTCTCCTCGGGTGTGTGGTAGAGTTTTCGGCAGCCCATGTTGGGTTGGATAAGAGAGGTAAGTAGAAGATTGATAGCAGGCCTGCCTAATTAGGCTGATCATCTGGTTTCCTATGATTTTTTGCCACTGGTGTGAGCAACTTGTGAGTAATCATAAAAAGATCTTCAGATTCGGAATGGCCTGTCAATTCTGAGTTGAATGAGCTAAGAAACAGAATTGATGGTGCTGATGGACAAGACTCAATGTTGAATGCAAGTTGATACACAGGCTAAATCACGAGTGAAAGGGCCGCCTCAACTGGTTCTTCTGATTTTTATAAGGAGCACCTTTTCTATTGAAAACTTGTAACAATTGGGTAGACTTGTCTCAAATGAGTCTTCAGTACTAAGCAATAAGGCTGGCAATGAGTATTGAGTGGTACAACATATGTTTAACATCAAGTTTCAAGCATGAAGACGGTCTTCTTCTTACCTTTATGACATGCCACTTTCTCCCAAACTTTCTAGTCTGTTAGGCTGGTACATCGACAAAGATTCTCTGTAAACAAGGAATAAGACCAGTGCTCAGGACTGAGTGTGGCGCAGTATGTTTTAAGGTCAACAGAGATGATCTATTTTTAGGTATGAGCCTTAATTAGGCCATCCATCCTTTATGGTTTTGCCGAAATAGGCCCAACCCACTCAAATCCAATTGGAATCAGGAGGGGGACAGCAAATATATTGAGTAGATGAGGTACACAAATTCATGACACAAGAAAAGAAAGGCCGCCACTATGCTACAGTACACTAGGTGAGGTACAAAGTGAATGCAGAGGTGCGAGCAGCACTCATCCGAGAGTGTCCTTCCACAACACTGGCCACACGTGAATAGACTGCATGACTAACCTTGGTGACAAGGGGCGAGACAGTCTCCCTGCACTGGTCCTTACCATATTTTATCATAAAACCATGGCCTAGGCCAGGAAGGCCTTGTGCATAGCTCCACATACTTTTATGAAAAGTATATCATATATATCCCAGGCCCTTTTATGATAAGGATTTTTTTCATTTGTAGCCTTTTGCAGGCTGTCCATGTCAATTTCCCTTTTGAAGTATGCACCTTCCTTTTTGGCTCAATTTTACCATGATATGATAATTGTAGCTTGTCTTGGCTTTCTAAATGTGTTAAAATCATCTCGTTTTCATGGAGAAAAATGCAAAAAAAAAAAAAGCTGGCAATGAGAAAAATCTTTTACCTCATATCTCTACAATGAAAGCACTTTACAACATAATTCAAACAGATTCAGAAAGCTACAGTGCAGGACTACAATTTTTGTTTTTTAACCATTTTAGACAACTGGTCATGTGACCACTCTCCTGACGACCCACCTGACAGCAGCCAATGAAAAGGGCTGGCCTGCAATGAAAAGTATCCAATGAAATTTCCTGGCCTGCAATGAAAAGTATCCAATGAAAATACCAGCAGCAATGAAAAGCAGTCAATGAAAAGAGCTGGCCTGCAATGAAAAGTATCCAATGAAACATCCTGGCCTGCAATGAAAAGCTACAAATGAAAATACCAGCAGCAATGAAAAGTGGTCAATGAAAATGGCTGGCCTGCAATGAAAAGCAGATAATGAAAAGGGCTGGCCAGCAATGAAAAGTGGTCAATGAAAATGGCTGGACTGCAATGAAAAGCAGTTAATGATAAGTTGTGACCTGCAATGAAAAGTTATTGAAATGCACAAGGCCTCTTATGAAAAAAATCCTTATCATAAAAAGGCCTGGGATATATATGATATACTTTTCATAAAAGTATGTGGAGCTATGCACAAGGCCTTCCTGGCCTAGGCCATGGTTTTATGATTTGGATGGTAAGCACCACTCGCTGTGGAAAGAGATGCGATGATTGGAGTTGCGGCGGTGACGGAGGCAGATGGGGGGGCGCCAATTGCAGCAACAACATTGACGGATGCTGCTGCGATAGAGCGGGAGGCACAGATGGGGCACTGGAATGGCTGCATGTCGCCAGCACCGTCGTGATCAAGACAGGCTTCTTTGGAGGCGTTGTTCAGGTCTTCATCACCGTCAAAGCCAAGGATGTCGTAGCTGGTGGAGATCGGACTGGTTGCATGGTCAAGGATTACAGGAGGGGTCGAAGGATGAGGCGAGCCTGTGGAACGATCAACAATTTGGACAAAGGCACGGACAAAGTCCTGGCCTTTGGCGTGTGTCAATCGCAAGGAGCGGATCGCATCCTCGATGGCTGCAGAGGGCCATTAAACATTGTGGACAAGGGGAGGTCAACGGCTTGAGTACTTACCAGTCATCGTGGACGATGAGGTGGGAACGGGCACTTCATAGTCAGTGGTAATTGCCATTGAAAACAAGGTAGTGGGTCAGCAACAACAAAACATAAAAACTGGCATTCAGATGTGGACGTTGGACGTGGTTGTAGCAAAGGAGTTGAAAGGGAGGATCTCTGGTTCCAACAGCTTTTATAACTGTGGGCGGTAGTGCTTCTGAAGGATATTCCCACAGTGAAAAAAAACAGTATAACCCAGATGAAGAGGAGAAGATGTACCCATTTCTCATCTTCTGCCTCCCCCTCTAAAAGCTAAATGAGTGATCAAGGTGTCGAAGGTGTCGATCCCAGTGGTGGTGTGTGAGTGGCAAACTTTAAGCTTGTCTTTGTTGTGGAATGTTGAGACTGATGTTTTTCTCGTATGTCTCAGGGTCAACAAGAAGCCACTGCTCAAAAATCTCTTGCGCAACTGGGCCAAGGGCCAGCGCCTTGCTTTTCTCGAAGGATTTATCGCCGACTACAAGGAGGCTTTGCATACCAAGAAGAAAGCCTCTTCTGTTCTGGACGCCATTGTCAACCAATGGTTTACTCACTTTCACTGGACTATCCCTCTGTCTTCTGGCAACTCTGCAACTGCTACTGTCCTTCCAATGGATGCCCAGGGCCACGAGATCTTGAGCCCCACAGATGCAATCCTCAAAGGCAGAGTAATTGAGTGTGCGCACACAGTACGTATAATTTCATTCTTGCAGATTTCCCAATCTAATATCTATCTTTAAGTCTCTTTACCACTGGTACGAATACCGATGCAAACGGACAGTTCCTCAGATGGGTAAAGGCAAGAAAGACCCCATCTCCCTCCTACTTCAAAAGCTTCTCAGGTGTAGCACGTCGCCTACTAGGCGTAGCGCAGGTTGGGAGACTTGGGGGAAGGAGAACTTCGCGTCATTGAAGGCAGAGTTTGAGGCAGACTTTGCGGTGAGTGGGAGGCCTAAATCTGCGCATGCGGCTGCTCAGAATGATTTCAAGTTGGTGTGATTCAAGGAGCTTGATGAAGATACGCAGAATCACTGGAATGAGGTTGCGAAAACAAAGTATGAGGAGGTCAAAAAGGTTGCGCAGGAGCGCACAGATAATTCTGGGCTACTAAGTCCAGCAGAGGCTCAAGCGTAAGTCTTCTTACCTCTTCCCAGCTTTCCGATGGTTGATCCCTTTCAATCTACAGAGTTTTAAATGACCTCCCAAGTGTTTTTGGACCCACGATTCAATCAATAGGTGAAGCACTGGGCATGCATGTTACGGTTTTGATCGGGGGGCCAGAACCAAGCAAAAAAGGGCAACTCAATATGATCGGGTAGGTTGTTTCATTGACCTAATGGACAGTCAGGCTAATAGTCCTTCAGTATACATCATGGCGAGAACAAAGCTGCCGTCCCTAAAGTATGGCCTTTGGCTGAAAAGGAGAAGTGTGCTCTGGTAAAGGATGCCTTTATTTTGTTCCTGGGTACTTGTTATTGTACATTTCCTTTTTGTTTTTGAAAAATTCTTGCTGAACTCCATTTTAGCCATTGAGGAACAGTGCACATGGGCGTTACCCCAACCACCCACTCCAGTCAACACTAACATATCCACGACGGAGGGGTACCTACCACTTATATGATAAACCTTACGCAAATGCCTGCACAGTTATCTGTTTCCTGCCAGGTGTGTTATGATGTGAGATACTTAGGCAAGCCCAATTAAATATGTCTCATTTCCTGCCAGAGGCATTTCATTTTTTTGTCAGGGATATTTCATTTCTTGCCTTGAGATATTTCATGTTCTTAGCTGGGCTATTTCATATCCTTGCCCAGGGCTATTTCATATCCATTTCATTGCTTACCCTGGGTTATTTCATATTCTTGCCTTGGGTTATTTCATATCCTTGGCTGGGCTATTTCATATCCATTTCATTCCTTGCCTTGTGCAATTTCATATCCCTGCCCTGGGCTATTTCATATTTTTGCCTCGGCAATTTCATACCTACCCTACTGCATTTATCATTGCCCCCTCACTGTTTCCCACAGTCTGCTCACTGTTTTCAGGGTCCAAAAGCGCACTTCTAAATATGGAAATGTGCACTTTTCTAAAAGAAAAATAGCAATAAAATAGGGAAAATTCATGGGATAATAGTACTCAAATTTGCAAGGTTTGTATTTGTCAGGGTCCACTGGGGGATGTCACGATATTGGTCATATGACCAATTACCGAAAATGGTCAAAAAAACAAAAGTTGTAGCCCTACACTGTAGCTTCCTAAATCTGTTCAAATTATGTTCTGAAGTGCTCCCATTGTGGATATATGAGGTAAAGAAATCCCAAAAGTGTCATGTTTTTTTTTGCATTTTTCTCCATGAAAACAAAACCAAACAGTATGATTTCAGTATATTTAGAAATCTAAAAGAAAGGGCTACAGTTATTGTATCAAGGGAAAAATGACCAAAAAAGGAAGGTGCATGCCCTAGAAAAGGAATTGTCAGATATAGACTACAAAAAAGTCAGACTCAGACTACAAAAGTCAGACTTAGACCCAGCTAAGAATATGAAATATCTCAAGGCAAGAAATGAAATATCCCTGACAAAAAAATGAAATGCCTCTGGCAGGAAATGAGACATATTTCATTGAGCTTGCCTAAGTATCTCATATCATAACACACCTGGCAGGAAACAGATAACTGTGCAGGCATTTGCTTAAGGTTTATCATATAAAGTGGTAGGGACTAGTGCACGATGCCGGCTCCTGGTGCCTCGTCTCAAATTCCCACTCAGCCTTCGACCCAGCCTTTGAATCCCTCCAACACCGTGGGTGAACGACGTAAACGGAAGTGAAGCACTGATGCGAAAATTAAGAAGAAGAGTCGCAAGGCTGAAAAGAGTAAAGAATCCCAGAAGCGGCCAAACATCGCAAAGCGACAGTTGACTCGGATGCTGAGGATACAGCTGCCTCAGATGACTCAGAACCATCGGATAATGAGGGGAATGACGATGATGATGAAGAGGAGGAAGATGAGGAGGAGGATGAAGAGGAGGAAGATGAGGAGGAAGATGAGGAGGAGGATGAAGATGGGGATGACAAGGATGACAACAAGGACAACGATGAGGAGCTCCTACAGACTTAGTGTTTGGAAGTCCGGTCTCGTGACTGGAAAAAGACCGTAACCAGACCGGACCAAGACCACAAAAGACCGGACCTGCGGTTACGGTCTTTTATTTTTGAAATGTAAAGACCGCAAAAAGACCGGTTAACGTGAACCGGTCTTGACCGGTTTGGACCGGTTTTTTGTAGCCCCTTAAATATCCTTTAAAACGCACCCAAGAACGTACGATTTGGTAAAAAAACGTGAGAGATATGAATTAAAATGTAAATTACTTTTGGGAATAATAGATGTACCAGACTTATTTTATAGAAGCACCAATACCTAACGGAATTTAACGTTCTTGGGCTCGTTTTGAAGCTATTAGAGATGTTAATAAATTTACCGATTCATAATTTTAAAATATTGGCCTAAAGACCGGTCATAAACCGGTTAAAACTGATGCAGACCGAAACCAGTCTATAGACCGCAAAAAACCGCGGTCTGCGGTCTTTTTGCGGTCCGGTCTGGTCTTTTGACTTCTGGGCAAAAGGCAGACCGGTTACGGTTACGGTTAATGCCCCTGGGCATCAAAAAACCAGACCGAACCGGACTTTCAAACACTATACAGACTACCAACAGATGCAGCATGAAAAACACGACGATGGATCCAAAGCATTGGAAAGGTGGGAAGGCACCTGTCAAGGCTGCCATCAACCTACCAACGCCTCCCTCATCAGATCCCCCATTGCCCACTCATTTGGCGCCATCTCCATTGACTGCTCCTCTGATCATCGCACCCTTGGGATCCCCATCATCCATGATGATGTCACAGCCAGACGCCGCATGGCCATCGTGGTTCCGTGATGCCCACACGCTACTTTCTAGCCAGAGTCTAGGCATGGTATTTATGGCCCTAATTGAACAGTTTGTGCAACTCGAAAAACACACCGCCTTTGCACCAGGCACACACTCTGGAGGTTTCAAGTTGGATAACAGGCTGCCAGAAGTTCACTATTGGATCTCTTGCAGGCAAGTGACGGAGCCTAAAATATCAGCAGTGAAGGACTTTGAGGCAAGTTGGTGGAAATGGTGGAAAGGGTTACAGCCGGATTGGAGGGTTGTGTTGGAGGTTGAGGGCATACTGGACTCGGCGCATCAACCAACCTTGATGGGTAACGAGGATTGGTTGGCTGTGGACAAATATGGTAGGAACGCGTTCTTTTTTGTGATGGTGACACTCTTGTGGTGGGGAGCCGCCGTTCCGGGCCCAGCTAATGGAGATGCCCACTGGATGGCAGCAGTTAGGGATGTCGGGTGGGTGCTCACTGGGCTTTTAGGCAGTACTTTACAGTGCCCCACCTATTCCTGCAGGAATGGGGTCATTCCAGTGGAATTCCAGAGGAATAGGACTGGAATCAAGCAGAGTAAGTTTTTTTCAACTCCAACCTTATCCTGATGACTTGGCACTCATATTTCCTGATAAAATTCACATGTAGAAGTCATAGATTGAGTTGTAATGTATTTGAAATGTATTACTACACACACTACACAGTTTATCTTAAAGGGAGGGGGTAGGGGAGGGACAAGGTGGGGGTGTATTTATATTTTTGGGAGGGACAAGGAAGGGGGAAGAACAAGGG